TTAAGAATGGACCTCCAGAACAAATTAAGTTCGTAACCAGAGGTACCACTGTAATGATATTAATAATAGTAATAATAATAGTAATATTAGTGACATGATAACAATGTTGGTGAAAAATAATGAAGCAAAACTGCATTATTAAAGAAAAATGCCTTGCAAATATGTATGTATTAGGCAAAACGGCAGATAAAAATGTGTCTATTAGAAGAAATTTGCTCTAAAATGAAGCGTTTGGTGGCAACTTTGACCACATGCACCTCTGATATGCATCATTTGTGATGGTGGTGGCCAACCTTCAGCGTGGGCTAAAAGGGTTAGCCATCACATTTCCTGGATATTTCATTTGCTCATCCACATAATCTGCCATTTTGAGGTCTCCGTTTGGCCTGTTCGTGTCTTATAGTTGTTATGAATGTTATTGTGCTTTCATAGGAGAGTGTGATGTATGAAGTCCGGCTGCAGCAAAGAATGGCTCACTCTGTTCCATATCCTGCTCTGTTTGGACATTTGATACCTTGCTGTGCAATTCTAACCATGCCTACTCCAGAAGTAAGCCCTACAGAAATTACTGGGGCTTACACACAAGTAAACAGAGTGAGGATTGCAACCTTAATTGTGAATTCCTACAAAATTAGCATTTCCTTCTCTAAGAACAAACTTCTTACTATAATCTCAGGAGCTTTAAATGCTAGATGCAGTTTTTAACCTGACAAGATGCTGAAATATGGCAACTCTGTATGCACTGTATGATGTGGCAAAAAAGAAATGAAAAGGGGGGCGAGTGCTGGTGGTGGAAGAGTCATTGCTATGGTGATTAGCAGCTCTTGCAGAGGCAAACTCTCTTGGGTATAATGTCATGTTCATTGCTGAAGTTGGACATTTTTCTGTACGATGATGAGTAATCACCCAGGACCTCAATGTAAACCTAGAATGTGTTTCACTGTAGAGCTAGTTAAGCATGAGGATATTATTTGGCAACGTGGCAGATTCATATTATCATATAAAATTATTGAGCAATCACAGAGACCATGTGAGAATCTCAGATTTCTTTCTTTGAAGAAGAGAAAGGGTCTGATCAGTCTTGCAGTGCAATCCTATGTATGTGTACTTAGCCACATGCCCCACTGTGTTCAATGACAATTATTCCCAGGTCTAACTAAACAAACTAAACAAACAAAATATGTCAAGGGTGTAGGAATCCCCCCCCCCAGAAATGAATGGTGTCCATTTAATATTTACTGTTTTAATTATTTGTATATATTTGTATAAATATGTTTTGAATTTATTTATAAAGATAAAACTGGAAATAATACTATTACCAACACTATTATCAAGACATGGAAGCACAACTACCTTTCCTTTTTTGTAGGCTGCAAACAGACTTCACTTTCACAAAGTCTAAAAGCATTTTTTTTAAAAAAAGTTGAAAATGGAGACATTTGCAGTTCAAAACACAAAGGTCCAGGCTGGATATAGATTATAATTCCCCAGCACCCTGAGAATTGAAGCTGCTTGGAAGAGGGAGCCCTGTGCATGGTGTGTTCATCTCTCTTTCATCCCTGGGAAACAGATTTTGCAGCTTTTTCTATTCTGCAAAAACCTGCAGATCCTGTTTTTAAAGAAGGACCATATGTCAGTGGTAGAGCATATACTCTGCATGCAAAATCTCTCAGGTTCAATCCCTTGCCTCTTCAGGGATATATCATCATCATCATCATTTGCAGTTGGGGAAAAATTACTGGTGCTTTCAGAAACCCTGGAGAGCCATTGCCTGTTGGTTTGGAAAATACTAAGCTAGATGGATCAAGTGGCTGACTCACTATAAATCACTTTCCTATGTTCCTTCCAACATCCAACAACAGGTGATAATGAGTAAAAACATATACATGCATATGCAAGGACAAACTATCTGAAGTATCAGAATCATACCATCAGAATCAAGCCTCTGACTCAAATCACTTTCTGCCCTCTGAAAATCTGTCCCCCAGCCCCAGAAATAATCGAAAACAAAAACATACTATTCAAGTATTCCAACACTTGGCCGTCTTGAAAATGGAATTAAAAACACCCTACCCAATAAACATTGGGTGTATGGTTTCTAATGTGAGATTCAGCAACTTGCCTATATATCCACTTTTGCTTGGTAATTTTTTCATCCAGGCTGTAAAAAAAATGTTTTATAGCATTGGGCCAATGCGGTTTTATGGTAAGAAGTTGGAATGGTCTTTCTGTTCAGAAGAAATCTGTGAGTATTTACTAGTAATGCAGTTTATAGGATTGTCAGAGGAGTGCCATTAAAGCTGGATAACTGCAGAATGCAAGATGCTTTTCGGGGAGGTTTCATATCCTGGAGCCGTTATAGGATTAGCATAAATTACCGCTGTTTGCTAGGCTGTCAGCATGAGAACAAAACATCAGGTGGAAACTACGTGTTTAGGAAGAGGATGCAAAATAAGCAGGTGCCACTAGGGATGGGCAGATAAGCCTATTTCCCTTCTGAGTCATAAGTCTGTCTTGTCCCAGGTTTTGCACACACAAAATTAGCACAGGCATTGCATGCATTTTTTACTCATTTTGTACACATTCTTCCTCTACAATATCAAATGTATTTCCAATATATTTCCCCCTAAAATATGTATCTTGGTGTGCATTATTATTTTTTTAACCAAGAGTGCATTGCAGTAATTGGAGAAACGCATAATCAAGCACATAATCAGAGCACGCCAGGCACTCCTGTCTTCCACTGCCTCCTGCAGTTTGGTCAAACTCATGCTGGTAGCTTTGAGAACACTGTCCAACCATCTCATCCTCTGTCATCCCCTTCTCCTTGTGCCCTCCATCTTTCCCAACATCAGGGTCTTTTCCAGGGAGTCTTCTCTTCTCATGACGTGGCCTCAGCTTCACAATCTGTCCTTCCAGTGAGCACTCAGGGCTGATTTCCTTAAGAATGGATAGGTTTGATCTTCTTGCAGTCCATGGGACTCTCAAGCAAGTAGGCATGTATATATATCTGCATATAAGTCTGGGAGTGGCAAACTAGGCCAGTTCTCTTCAAAATGCAGAGCAAGCAGGGGCATCTGTGTCATGCTGGCCCATATCTTCCCTAGTATTATTTATCTTAACTTTCACAGGCAGTGGCTTTCGTCTCCAAGTTCACAAGCAGAGGACTTTCCCAGCCTTTCTGCCCAAGATCTTTTCAACAGGAAATGCTACACCTTGTGCACGCCAAACACTCTACTGCCATATGTGCTCTAGAATTCAGAGTCCCTTCAAACAAATTGTGCTTTTTGCAGAACAGGAAGCTGAATTTCAGGGCAAAATGCTCCTGCACTTTCTGCTGGCGGGCTTCCCATAAAAGTGGCTCTCTCAACACATGCACATTAGAAGAGAACACATGAACACTTGCTGGATTAGACCAAAGGTTTGTCTAATTCAGCATCCTGTTGTTACAACAGCCGACCAGATGCCAATGGGAAGACCACCTGTAGGACATGAGGGCAATAGTACTTTCCCCACTTGTGGTATTCAGCAACTTCAGAGGCATACTGTCTGCAGTGCTGGAGATAGCAGACAGCTATCATCAGGGATGGATTAAATCTGTCCATTTCTATTCTCTATGTGTCTCATTTTCTCACTTGTTTGGTGACCCCTATTTCCCTTCACAGAGCTACGTTTCTCAGAGTGGTTAAACTATCGTTCCCCCTTCCCAGGGAACTCTGGGAATTGTAGCTCTATGAGGGGAAATAGAGCTTTTCTAGCAATAGAGCTTTTCTATGACACCCATAGCAATTTACATTTCTCAGAATTGTTTGGGGGAAGCCATGACTGTGTAAAGTGGGGTGATACTGCTTTAAATCTATAGTGCAAAATCGGGCCTTGGTTAGGAGAAAAATGGGAAGAGATATGGGTAGAGGCAGCATGTTTAATAGGTAGCCAAATAGTATTTTAAAACTGACGAGGAAAGGAAAAAGGATATTAGCAGGCTCATTCAACTGACCAAAGAGGAGACTTAGGAAGCTGGAGGCTGAAGAAGGCAAGTAAAGCAGGTAAGTTTGTTTATTATTATTAATCATGATGTGAAACCAATTTTGCAGCAAGGGCAGCCTCAGATGTTTTTCATTCTTTGCCTCCATTTCCACACTTGTACTTTAACGCTAACTGTTCTGCGTGAGGAGGATTTCAGGACGAAGTTACGGGACATGAAATGATTGGAAATAAGGCCTAATATCTGCCCGGAGACCTTTGCAGGTGCAAACAGCATGGAAAACGAGATGGCGTATAACCATCATGAGCACAAATAACCATGACTGGCTAATTTAAAAGGTGTCTGGAGGGGCCCTCAAGTGTTCCACAAGATATGAACATTTTATCCTTTCCCGCCTCCCCAATGATCTGTTGATTTTATCTCAGGGCAGCAAGCTTACAGTGCAACAGTTGCATAGGTACATACTTGGATCCAAGACTGTATTTTTTAATCTACGAAGGAATATTTTTCTCCAATAAAAAAGAATGTTGTTTCTCCCCCCCGCCCCGCCCCCAAAGCCAAACAGAGGCTAGGGATGGAATCTTGCAACCTGAAGTTATTTCATTGCGATTCCTGGAATTCCAGCTTTTTGCCAAATCACGATTGCCTGCAGCAGTAGCTGTGCTTTCAAATGGAAAAGGTCTTCTCCCCCCTCCTGTCCCCATCTCCAGCTACTGTATGAACATCTGTGATATATAACACTCACCTCTTTTTATATGGGAGCCCTTGAGATTGCAACTGGTTTACAGTCCTAGGAAATCCCAGCTCAGACAATGTTAGGAATTAATGTGCTCATAAAGTTCCACCTTAAAACTAATTGAATGTGTCTGCGGCCAAGTCTTTTGCCCAGAGAAGTTCCGCTAAACGGTGACACATTGCGTTTGGAGCTAGATATTCCACATCTGGAATCCAAATGTTTGACGTGATGCTAAAAAAAAAAAAAGCCAGCACAACAAACCAGCAGGACACTTTACAGCCAGAAACACAAGCAACATGGACCTTGCTCTCCTCTGCATGGTCCTGCCGCTGCTCACGGTGGCCTGGGGCCAATACATGGACTATTATGACCCGTATAGTGACTACAGGGGCAGCGACGAATGGGTCAATGTGTACCGGCAGGGTTTCAATTTCCAGTGTCCTCATGGACAAGTGATAGTGGCCGTGAGGAGTACTTTCAGCAAAAAGGAAGGCTCTGACAGACTGTGGAACTATGCCTGCATGCCTACCCCTCACACCTTGGGAGAGCCCTCAGAGTGCTGGTGGGAAGAGATCAACAGAGCTGGACTGGAATGGTAGGACACCAAGCTTAAACTTTCTTGAGGAGCTGCCATTGTGTGTGTTTGTGTGAGAGAGTATGTGTGTGCGGAACCCATGTTACTCAGCGCCAGGCTGATGCGATGGTTAACAGATAGCAATGCATGTGGCACTAAAACAAATTAATTAAGGAATTAACGCTCTGCTTAAGCCAGTGTGAAGAATCAACAAGCTGCAGTGATGATTCTGCTATGTATTTCCATAGATGAGGCAGTCGCAACTTCATTTATTTATTGGATTTATATCCCACCTTTACTCCAAGGAGCTCCAGGTGGCATTTTTGGCTCTTCCCATCCTCATATAACCCTCATAACACTGCTAAGCTGAAAGGCAGTGACTGGACCAAGGTCACCCAGCGAACTTCATGGCTGAGTGGGGATTTGAACCCCGGTCTCCCAGATCTTAGTCCAGTGGTGGCAAACCTATGGCACACATGCCAGAGTGGGCACTCAGAGCCCTCTCTGTGGGCACGTGCGCCATTGGTCCATCCGCGCCATTGCTGGGGGTTGGCAAAGTGGGCAGCTGTCCCCCCCAGACCACTGTGGGCAGGAAACTCTCACTAGAGTTCCTTGGGGCCCCCATGCCACTGCAAGCTGGAAATGGGTTATTTTTTTGCTTGTGGGAGCTGGAGATTGTCTGTGGTGATTGGGCGGGAGATTATTGCCTGTTGGCTTCCTCTGTGTTAGTTTGGTGGCTGCCTCTTGGCATTCCCCTCAAAAAAGCTCAACAAGCCTGGACAAACACACACACACACACACACACACACACCGCAACAGCTAAACAACTCATGGCACTTTGTGTTGGCACTTTGCGAGAAATAACTGAGTTTTGGGTTGGGGTTTGGGCACTCGGTCTCGGACACCTGGTCCAACACTCTAATCACAACACCACAATGGCTCCCATTCGTACTGTTCCATTCCTTGCTTCCTCCACATTGTGAATGCTCCTTGATTTGTCTCCCTCCTTGTCTTGCAAGCATTGTACTTTTGTCCACCGGTTCAGCAACATTGGCTGGAGTTAGATGGATAATAGTTCTTGTTGTTGTTTGTAATGAGAAGAATTTTTGCTTGGCAGGGCTATCATATTCTGTTCTAGCGAGGCAGATTTTAATAGCGCCAGGAAACCTTGCAAAATCTATTTGACTAGAGAAATATTCCATGTGGGACGGGGGGGGGCAATCAATGTACATGAGCAATGATAGCTCTATTAGAATATGTTCAGCTCTCTGAAGAAAGTACTGTTGATCTCCCGCCAACATTTTAATGATTTGAGAGATCTGCCTAGTGCTGGATGAATTTTGCAATGAAAGACTCCTGTTCCTATTCAGTTAAGAATGATTAAAAGTCCTATCTACCACCTCAAAAGATAGGGAGGGATATTTTATGTAGTCCGAGTTCTCAGTTTCTCTTCATATTATGTGTGCAGAACATTCTGTCACACATTCTCACTGTGCACTAAATATTTCTAGGCAGTATATATCTAAACATGTCTTCTAATGGTTCGGTGTTAAATGCACTGCCTCATTTCCTTGCTTATGATTCTCTCTCTCTCTCTCTCTCTCTATATATATATATATATATATTTGTTTAAATGAAACTATAGATGGAAGAATTATCAAGTCCTTTGACTTGTGGTCAAGTAACCTCGCCCCATTCCCCCATTAGTAAGTTATTCTTACTAAGGTGTTAAGTTGGTTGCAAGGTTCATCACAATCTCATTTTTACGTTACTGCCTTTAAAATTTGTGTTTGTACTAAAACGGCACCACAACTTTCCCTCAATGTCCTAAGGCCAAAAAAGAAAACTGAACAAGAGGGCATAATCTCTCACCACCCCACCTCCCCTAGGAGCCTTTGGCACTTTGTGTTAAACATGAAAATGTTAACTGAACTCAACAAAACATTTTCACATCTTTTAACTGTATTGCTCATCATTGCATATATTTTTCTTCTCCACTTTGCTCAAACAGAATGTGCTTATTTGGCACAAGATAGGAGAGGGAGACCTGCCAGTTTCTTTGCTAAAAAAGAAAGGAAGAGACGGTCTGGAGTTATGTCTTTAAAGGCGAAATGGAAATAAGAAAAAGCATCTAAATCTGGAAAAAAATATGCATGTTAAGAAAGCATTAACACTGACCTCTTAACACTCTGGTTTGGAAATACAAATGACCATTTCCCCCCCATGTATGCAGAGATATTTTGCTATCGTTAGCTAATATTTTGCCTAGAAATGCTGATGGAGTCTATGAAATAAAACAGGCCTAGATGACTCATCATACCAAAGGATGTACATTTATTTCCCACCCTTTTCTCAAGGCCAGAGTTTAGGAAGTAATATATCTTTGTGCCATTTTATCCTCACAACAACCCGGTGAGGAAGGCTAGGCTTGTTGAATGGTCTCTTTAAATTTGAAGGTTCATTATTGTTCCACAAGATGTGTATGTCTTTAAGGGCCAGAGCAAATAACTTGATCCAGTTTTACAGCTGTGAAACAGTATAGCAGGTGCTGCTAAGTTGTGTTAATTAAGCTGTGTCAGCAATTGGGTATAGCATATAAAGAGCAGCACCTAGCTCTCTTAGTACCCTGGGGGGGGGATAGGTTGGTGGTTGGGTCATGCTTGTTGATGTACTTAGTGTAAAAGGAGTTTTTGTTTTTGTTATTAAAACCTTGTTATTTTTGAGTTCCTTGTAATGCATGGTCTCCCCAGCAAGCTTTCTGCAGCGCAACTAAACTGCAAATAGCCAACAAGGCTAGGCTAAGAAAGAGCTGGGACAGCTTCATGAGCCTGAGTTCTCCCACTTGCTAGCCTAGCTCTCCCTCTACTCCACCACACTTTTCCTGTGACTGGGGCCACAGATGATTATGATGATTTTGGTAATGCTGCTAAAACTTGCAGAGGCAGTTTTACTAGTGGTGACAGCGGTACACAAGAGTGCGTAGCCACAAGCAGTAACAGGTCTACCGTACTGCCTTCTACTCTTTTAAAAAAGCATTGCTTGCTTCTACCTATGCAGCTGGCAATAACATAAGATGTTCCAGCACACCATCATAAAATTAGGTCACATCCACTCCAGACATTCAAAGCACATGGCTTCCCCCAAAGAATCTTGAGAACTGCAGTTTCTGAAGGAAGCTGGGAACTGGGGGGACACACCCTGCAGAAAAGTAGTTGTGGGGGCGAGGAGAAAGGGCTTGGCACTGAGGGAGGCTAGTATGGGGCAAGGAGTGCTGGAGCCTGGGCAAACTCATTACAAACTGGAGAAGGGATGCAGCTCATTGGTAAGCAAAAGGTCCCAGGTTCAGTCTGTGGCATTTTCAGGTAGAGCTAGGGATTGTCCCTTGACCAAAACCCTAGCAAGCCTCTGTGATTCTAGGCTGTACTGAACCAGATTGACCGATGGGTCTGCCAGAGTGTAAGACTTGGTCTTTGAAAACTGTTATAAGGAAAAAAAACCTGCTCCCTTTCCCTTATGGGGTATTCCGGAGCCCGTATAGAGTCCTTAAGTGGGTTCCCCATTGGTAGAAGAAAATAACAGAGGCCAACCAGAGTATACTGAGAAGCAAAGTGGCTAGTAAGCCTGGCCTTTATTAAAGGAACTGTTGCAACAGGGTCCCCACTCATCACATGCAGGAGGGAGGGGAACCCTGAACAATGGTGCCCAAGCCCTTATATAGACTTATGAAATTGCCCACCCTGTAGCCCAAGACCACCCCCCAAAACATCACAGAGGGAGGCGGTCTACAGCAGAAATCCTGCTTGCCAGGATACCTGATAATGGTCACTAATTGTATTACCAGGGCAGTCTGGCCATTCTTTTGTGATGGTTAATACTTTAGTTCCTGAATCCAGGTCACAGGCTCACCCTATTCATACACAAATACGCCCTTAAGACAGTATTTGCAAGCAAAAGGACAATGGGAAGGCTTTCCTCATTTGCCTCCCTTACTACAGAGGAATATTTGAGGTCATTGGGAGAGTCAAAATGGCTTCAGGATTGCTCTCCCATACTATTGCAGACACGTTTCATATATTTAGATATGTGTGCATTTATGAATATTTATTCTACATCTGAGACCTTATTTTTTATTTTTTTTCACAAAACCATATCCAAATGCAACTATCTTCGTTCACCCCTTTTTGCTGACAAAGTCGAAAGTGAGTTAAGGGGAAAATGACTGGTTAACAATTCAAGGCTATAGAGCCATTTGAGGTCATGTTCCTTTGGAATGTCTGGCTTTACTTATCCAAGCTGAAACTGAAATCCTTATGTGGAAGTTTTACCTAGTCTTAGCACCTCACTCCACCTTTGTACCGTTTAATGATTTAAAAAACAAAACAAAAAACTTCCTTGATGGCGGCACTGGTGACTGTGAAGTGATAGATGAAGCCATTAGCCCCAACTGCTATTTGATGGTGATATGACACAGTAACCGTATCAGCGCTTGAGAAAGAAAAGCACATGAAACAATCATCTTGAAAGAACTGCATGGCTTTTATGGTAATAGCTGAGCAAAGCAGCCCTAGTTTATCGGCTGTTTTGAAAAACAGAACACAGGGATTTCTGTGAAATAGTGCCAGCAAAATAACTGTCACACAGTGGTGGCACTATTAGAAGTGCTAATAGATTTGGTTTCCATGACAGGCAAATAGATCTTGAAAAAGCACTTATTCCTAGTCTACAGCAGCATTTCACTTTTGGAAGAATTTACACCTTTGCCAGCAGCCCCTAGAGACTGCAGATAATTTTCTTAGTGCACGTATGGTAGACTATCACAAGGGAAGGAGAATCATCGTTATTAACTATTATTACGTTATTGGTTCTGCTGATTTATAAACTATTTCATAGCTACAAGCTATCAAAGCGATGTACAATAAGTTAAAATGAAATACAAAAGATAGACTGCAAAGACACAAACCGTTTATAAGATATGCAGTTAGCAATCCATAAAACAAATAGCTTATGGGAAAGCCTTCTTAAACAAAAATATATTTAACCTTCAAGGCACCAGGAGCTTGTCTGATTTCAGCTGGTAATTGACTCTGGAGGGTTGGTTTCTGGTACAAACTAAGAGGAACCTTGTGGCATGCACAGCAGTGCCCTATCTGAGGAGCACAGTTTTTGGGCAGGCATACAGCTACAGGTATGAGACCATTTAAAACATGAGAAAAAGTTAAGCTTCAAGGGTTGGCGCTGTTGGGGAGTCACCAATGTCCCGTGTACTCAGGAGGGTTGGCCTTCCCATCACAAAATGCCAGCTGCAACTACCAAAGCCTGGTAGTCCTTTCAGGGCTGGGCAAAGGGAAGCCAGTGATAAGAGTCTGGGTTGCTTCTCCATATTTTGCAATGTCGTTTGCTAGCAAAGAAGTGTGCATATAAATGCAGAGGTTACTGAGAATACTATACAAAAAATGCAATACATATGGGGAAATTGCTTTACAAAAATGTGTTCGTGAGGCAAATTTGCACACAAAAGGTGACTATTAGGAGAAATTTGCACTAAAATATTGATGAATTTTCATGAGGACTTTTTTTAAAAGTTGCAAACTGATGTAGAAAATAGAATGACATGGGTTGCACGTCAACCCAGTCTCTGAGTAGTGCTAGAGTCCAGGGGTTCCATGCACTCACCCAGGGTTCTGTTTCCTTGGAATGAGAGATAGCGGGGACTGTGGTGTCCTTTAGGATATGTGGTTTATTTACACATATATACAACCTGAGCCTAAGATGGAGGGGCTCACAGCATTTACACTTTCTGATAGTCACAGCCTTGGAATCAAACAGAAATCAAGCATGTCTCTCACTCTCTGGCTTCTACCTGCTTCTAGCTGAAGCCCCAGGACTCTCGCTATTGCCCTTCTAAGTAGCAGCCAGGGAAAGGCTTGCTCATTTGCCCAGAGGGCACCATCACTTCTTTTTCTACATTAATGGTAGTCCTTAGGTAACAACTATGCCCATTCTCTCACACAAAAACTTGCCTGACTAGTTCATCAATGGAATCCTCCATTAGATTTCAATCCTTGCTGGAATCAGGACTTCAGGAGTTAGATGGGACTCAGGCATCATGTAGAATAACTCTGCAAACTCACAACAATAATATTGGAAAATTAGGAACCGAGAAATACTAAAATGCTGTAGTCATATTTGCTCATCCCTAGTCTCTAGATTCCAGTACTCTGCAAGAAAAATAGGCATGTTTATAACAACAACAGCAACAACACTGCTATTACTAGTAGTACAACTTATTTTCATTATCATTTTTCTCTTCAGGTATCAAACATGCTCAAATAATGGGTTGGTGGCAGGATTCCAGAGCCAATATTTTCCGTCGGTGCTTGATCGAGAGTGGCAATTCTATTGCTGCCGCTACAGCCGGAGATGTCCTTATTCATGTTGGTGAGTTCACAAAAGTGCACTGAGTTTTTAATGCATTGAGAGCATTTCTTAAAAAAATCCAAGATCATTCCCTTAAACTCTGAAAGCAATAAAACCTTTCCAGAGATGTACAATTAATATTTTGTAAATGATTGTGTAAATGTGTAAATTGTGTAAATTGTGTCTTCTTAAATAAAAATGCCTTTCCAGTAATACTAAAAGGAAAGGGAGTTCAAGATGGCTGGGAGTTTGTTAAGAGGGAGATAGTAAAAGCACAACTTCAGGCAATACCAATGAGACGGAAACATGGAAGGTGCCTAAAGAAGCCAGGGTGGCTATCTAAAGAACTTTTAACTGAGTTAAGATTAAAAAAGGATGTGTACAAAAAATGGAAAAGGGGGGAAACCACCAAAGAGGAATTCAAACAAATAGCCAGCACGTGTAGACACAAAGTCAGAAAAGCTAAAGCACAGAATGAACTCAGGCTTGCTAGAGAGGTTAAAAGCAACAAAAAAGGCTTTTATGGGTATGTTCGTAGCAAAAGGAAGAACAAAGAAACCGTGGGGTCACTCAGAGGAGAAGATGGTGAAATGCAAACAGGGGACACAGAAAGGGCTGAACTCCTCAATGCCTTCTTTGCCTCAGTCTTCTCCGATAAAGAAAACAATGCCCGACCTGAAGAATTTGGAGCAAATGATTCAGCAGAGGAAACACAGCCCAGAATAACTAAGGAGATAGTACAAGAATACTTGGCTAGTCTAGATGTATTCAAGTCTCCAGGGCCAGATGAACTGCATCCAAGAGTATTAAAAGAACTGGCAGATGTGATTTCAGAACCACTGGCAGTCATCTTTGAGAATTCCTGGAGAACAGGCGAAGTCCCGGCAGACTGGAGGAGGGCAAATGTTGTCCCTATTTTCAAAAAGGGGAAAAGAGAGGACCCAAATAATTACCGCCCAGTCAGTCTGACATCAATACCAGGGAAGATTCTGGAGCAGATCATTAAGCAAACAATCTGTGAGCACCTAGAAAGGAATGCTGTGATCACCAATAGTCAGCATGGATTTCTGAAAAATAAGTCATGTCAGACTAACCTGATCTCGTTTTTTGACAGAATTACAAGCCTGGTAGATGAAGGGAACGCAGTGGATGTAGTCTACCTTGATTTCAGCAAGGCATTTGACAAGGTGCCCCATGATATTCTTGTAAAGAAGCTGGTAAAATGCGGTCTTGACTATGCTACCACTCAGTGGATTTGTAACTGGCTGACTGACCGAACCCAAAGGGTGCTCATCAATGGTTCCTCTTCATCCTGGAGAAGAGTGACTAGTGGGGTGCCACAGGGTTCTGTCTTGGGCCCGGTCTTATTCAACATCTTTATCAACGACTTGGATGATGGACTCAAGGGCATCCTGATCAAATTTGCAGATGACACCAAACTGGGAGGGGTGGCTAACACCCCAGAGGACAGGATCACACTTCAAAACGACCTTGACAGATTAGAGAACTGGGCCAAAACAAACAAGATGAATTTTAACAGGGAGAAATGTAAAGTATTGCACTTGGGCAAAAAAAATGAGAGGCACAAATACAAGATGGGTGACACCTGGCTTGAGAGCAGTACATGTGAAAAGGATCTAGGAGTCTTGGTTGACCACAAACTTGACATGAGCCAACAGTGTGACGCGGCAGCTAAAAAAGCCAATGCAATTCTGGGCTGCATCAATAGGAGTATAGTATCTAGATCCAGGGAAGTAATAGTGCCACTGTATTCTGCTCTGGTCAGACCTCACCTGGAGTACTGTGTCCAGTTTTGGGCACCACAGTTCAAGAAGGACACTGACAAACTGGAACGTGTCCAGAGGAGGGCAACCAAAATGGTCAAAGGCCTGGAAACGATGCCTTATGAGGAACGGCTAAGGGAGCTGGGCATGTTTAGCCTGGAGAAGAGGAGGTTAAGGGGTGATATGATAGCCATGTTCAAATATATAAAAGGATGTCACATAGAGGAGGGAGAAAGGCTGTTTTCTGCTGCTCCAGAGAAGCGGACACGGAGCAATGGATCCAAACTACAAGAAAGAAGATTCCACCTAAGCATTAGGAAGAACTTCCTGACAGTAAGAGCTGTTCGACAGTGGAATTTGCTGCCAAGGAGTGTGGTGGAGTCTCCTTCTTTGGAGGTCTTTAAGCAGAGGCTTGACAACCATATGTCAGGAGTGCTCTGATGGTGTTTCCTGCTTGGCAGGGGGTTGGACTCGATGGCCCTTGTGGTCTCTTCCAACTCTATGATTCTATGATTCTAGGTACCTAAGCATCAAATACTATGTGCCTGTCTGATTTCAGTTGGTTGACCCCAGAGGGCTGGAACTGTAATACAAAAAAAACCAGTTTCTAGTACAAACTGAGCTTTAATATAGAACAAAACAGGGTAATTTGATGTATCACAAGCTGAGCGACTGGGTTGTTGATATAGCTGTCCAAATTAGAAACCAGGATGATTTTTGTCTGTGCAGCTAAGATGAGCACTGGCAAATTGCTTCCTTAAATGGACTGACAAAAGGTGATTCAAAGTATCATAGACAAACAGAACTACAGAGGAAGTGAAGTTTTCAATTAGATGTGCACAAGATGTTTACTTGCCTTTTAGTGGGCCAGCTGCTGACCTACATGCAACAACAATGCATACAAGTCCAGAATAAAAATTGCCTTGCAGATAGGAGGGAAAGTAATATTGGATTTCCCTGCATAAAATCTTCAAACATCCTTCCAAGTGTCGGCTGATGTTCTGCACCTGCGCGTGAAGCAACAGCCCTGCCAAAAGTCTGCCTTGTGAAGGAGGTGCTCTCTGCTTTACTAGTGAAGGTCATCATTTAGGCCTTTGCTTACATTTATGAAGGAACTGGTTTTGTGCCTCAGTGGGACAAGTCACACTACTGTATCATTCAATTCAGTTGTAATCTTGGAGCATTGATTTGCTATGTCAAATTAAGGCTCTTGTCTGGCAGTTTCGGGTGCTGTTTATATCTGAAGCCCCACCTCCCTGCTTCTGGCATCCTCATGAGTGTGTGCTTAGGTATCCATCTCTATCTATACACATGAGAACGTAAGCAGAGCCTGCTAGATCAGGGCCAATGGCCCATTAGTCTAGCATCCTTTTCTCACAGAGGTCAACCAGTTGCCTGTAGGGAACATGAGCTGAGTGCAACAATATGTTCTCTATTTCTGATTCCCGGTCAATGGTGTTGTCCAATCCACTTTTTAAAGCCATCCAAGTTGGTGGCTGTCACTACTAGCGAATTCCATAGTTTAACTATGCAGTGTGTGAAGAACTATGTTCTTTATCTGTCCTGAACCTTCCGATGTTCAGCTTCATTGGACATCCATAGTTTTATGGGAGTGGGAGAAAAATGTGTCCCTGTCCACTTTCTCCACCCAACACTTCAGTTTATATACTTCTATCATCCCCTCCTTTGCTCACATTTTCTCTGAACTGAAAGAACTCCAAATATTGTAGCCATTCCTCATAGGAGAGTTGCTTCAACCCCTTGCTTGCCCTTTTCTGAGTCTTCTCCAGCTCCACAATGTCCTACACTGTGCACAGAATTTACCCCTAAGACTTTTCAGCAAAGATACATTTTATCATAAAACCTTGTTAAGTGCAGCCTCCTCCTAGTATTTCCATTTTACAAACTAGATACAGTTGAACCTTGGTTGACAAACGCCTTGTGCAGGAGCTTCCTGCAGCCAATTGGAAGTTGTGCCTTGGTTTCCAAACGTTTTGGAAGTTGAACAGACTTCCTTTACAGATTGTGTTCGACTCCCGAGGTACCACTGTACTCACTCTGTGTCTGAGCTGGCAGACTGGCCCAGCAACTTCTGTGTTCAATCAGGATTTGTGCAGAGTCCCTGAGTCTACATACTATTACAGTACTGCGTCATTTTATGAAGCCAAGCAAACCTTGTGCTCAGAACCTTGTGTTCCTGTTTGTTGGTGTCTTAATGGTCTGACCTTGCCCACAAACAGCTATTTGCATTTCATTATTATTATTATTATTATTATTATTATTAATTTAATTTGTATACCTCCTTTTATCTGTAGATCTCAGGGTGGTTCATCACAACATACCGTACCCTCCTTATGACACAAGTCTATGCTTTTGTTAAGCCCATGAAGTTCAGAGGGATTATTTGTACATCAATGTGCATAGGATTACAGCTTTAAAGTGTAATCCTATGCACCTCTATTCAGAAGCAAGCCCTGATGAAATCTATGGGACTTACTTGCAGACAACTGTTCCAGAAATCCAGCCTTCATTTACTAGGAACCTGTGAGATCTCATTAGTGCTGAACGTGGTTGTCTTGTTCTTTTATATGGGACAGTTTTATTACTCTATCAAAATATAATCTTGGAAGGCAAAGTAAGGTATTTCCCTGGGAAAGGCTCTAGCAATCAGCTACATTTTATGGTTCTGTGATGAGAGGCCAGCTGTTCTATAACTTCCAGCGTTAGCCTGGAAGGAATAAAGAAGAAAGTTAAATAGAGAAGTAGCAAATTCTTTGCAGATGTCACTGTGATGTTGCATCTATCTGTAAATGTATATAAGTGGAGGGAAATCTCAATCCTCAGCTTGAAGCAGTCTGAAAGATAAACAGCATTTGGAATGCTGTTTATAATAATTTCCCTGCTCCAAGCAAGCAGGGCTGCCGAGGTCCAGAAAGGTTTGGCTGGTGCTACAGCTGCTCTCGCTCACCATTGCCTGTCCAAGCAATGACCACATTTACCAAGACCTTACAGAATTATGGACCCTAGCGGATACAACCGTTTCCTCTACACAGTTTGCCATTTGTTAAAGGCGTTGATGTTCATGGACTCTTTCACTGGCAATGTCAGTGTCCGGAAAATGGAGCAACTGCAGAATACAGCTGGTATCCCTAGAAGGGAATGGAGGAAGTCTCTTTCAGTGGCGTAGCGTGGGTTGTCAGCACCCGGGGCAAGGCAAGTAATTTGCGCCCCCTAACCCGTGGATTTGCGCCCCCTAACCTGTGGATTTGTCCTAACCCCAGATGTTGCGCCTGGTGCGGCCGCCCCCCTGCACCCCCCACGCTACGCCACTGGTCTCTTTTGCCCTTCTTCATGCCTCCTTCCAAGGAGAGAGCCTTGCTCAAAGGGTGCTACCCTTCCCATGTTGCCCTCAACATGGCTTCTGGCCACTTCTGGTGATTTTCAACACAATGGCCTGGAAGGAGCCAATGTGCAGCTGGTCCCCCTCAATAGGAGCAGGGAGAGAGGTGCTTTCTCCACCTTCTTCCCTCCTCCTGAGGAGAGCTGCCATGGCTCTGATACTGCTGCAGGGCAAGGAGGAGGAATGACCACCAGCACCTTGGGGCCTCTTCTCTCTCCTATGCTGTGATGAGATGCCACCTCCTCAAATTTGCTGCCCCAAGCAAATGCCCCGTTTCCCATAAATACATCATTGCCTACCTGGGAATGCCTGGGATTGCACCTGGTTGGTTATTATGAGAATAGGGTGCTGGATGAGGCGGGCCATTGGTCTGATCCAGCAGGTTCCTAAGGACTTTCCATATGCAAAGCAGATGCTCTACCACTGAGCTACAGCTCTTCCAAAGTTCCTTGTGTTTGAAGATGACACAGACATAGCAGGAAGCCTGAAATGCAATTGTACATCTTCCTTCCTTCATCCATCTCTCTCTCTCTCTCTCTCTCTCTCTCTCTCTCTCTCTCTCAACAGCATTTCTATCTTTCACACATGCACACCACATGGCAAGAGAGAAACTTACATAGTACCATTGCTCTCTCTATCAGGCATGGGAGATAAGTTCCCTCTTAAGAATTTTGAGCCGTTCCAGAATTTCAGAGTCAGTTGTTCTTGTTTGTGTTTGTTAGAGAATGTTCTTCTATTACTGGCAATGTTTAGACAGTGCACTGAATGGTCTTTTGAGGGCGGTGGGGGGTGTGTGTGTGTGAGAAAAAAGAGCCAGTAAATGATCTGTAATTAAACCACATCTGCTATGTACATGACATAGTAAACTACTAAACAGAAAAACCAAGTTGTGGAATATATGTTTAATTATATAAAAAATAGGGCAATTTCAGTGTGTCTATAATCACCGAAAATAGCTAAGGGCTTGTAGACAGAGAGACTCCACTGAAGTAGAATAACCAAGTGAGACACTATGCTCTCTTCATTTCCATTCCTGACTCTGACACAGGCTTCTTGTGTGTACTTGGGCAAGTTGCCTAAACTTTCCATTTCCCTTAATCATTTGACCAAATGGTGCCTTGCAGACTACAACTCCCATCAGCCCCAGCCAAAGGGTGAGAGGGGTCTCACAGGGACTGAATATTTGAGGATGCCCAGCAACCCTCAAAAAGGTAAAAGAGGAGGAATAGCAGCAAATCCAGGCCCAGTACAAAAAATGATTCCCTGGGCCAGTCTCTAAGAATGCCCCGAGTAGCAGTAAGACATCTGTATTTGATGAAGCATGAATGCGTAAACCAACATGCTGCACAAATGCAGACAATGTTGTTGTTGTTGTTGTTTTATTTTGCCCATCTGACTAGGTTGCCATAGTGACTGTGCATGGCACATCACATGTCACACATCCGAAGCATTTTCTTTTCATTGAAGAAACTAGCAAGAACTAGATGAAAAGTACTGAAGACAAGAACTGACCAAGACACAACACACTCTCTCTCTTTACATTGCTTTAATTTATTTGTTTATTTGGGGGGGGAAATGTACTACCAATGTTAAGGTGAGGGTGGGCATCATGGCAGCGAGCAGCATAGTATCCATTACAGATTTACATCCATTAAAAAAAATTGTCACCCATCAGCTTAATATATCGACCATAGATGGATCAGGTGCGTTTCAAGCAGGTGCCTAAATGCCAATACTGTAGGTGCCTTCCTGCTATTCATTGGGAGTGCATTCCAAAGGGCTGGTGCTACCACACTAAAGGCCCTGGACTTAGTAGACACGAAATGGACCTTAGGAGAAGACCTTGCTCCAACAGAACCATCTGCTTAATGCTACATTGAACACAGCCCCTCTGTGTTTGTCAAGAGCAGACATGAAATCACAGGATACAGGGAAACTATCCACACTTCAGTTCAAAGTGGGTGTGATATACACTAGGTTAAGTTACATGTGTGAACAGGTTTTTCAGTGGGCTGACAAAAGCAAAAGTCATAACATTTGAAACAAAACTGTTATTACTTTTTCTAGAGAAGGAAAATAACTTGGTTTCCCCCCCACTCCTCCTGTTTAAAAGGTTGACAACAGAACACCCAGAACACTACGGGGAAGATATGGACATGATGATGTATACCTATGATCATTACATCCGTGGAGCAGCCACAACTTTCTCCGGTGTGGAAAGGTCAGATTCAGAAATTCACTTGAAACCTGAACCTTTCCTGTGCTGCAAAGAAATGGTTTGTTACACTGTAATATTCCCCCCAAAAAACTAATGGTGTGGAAGGTACAACATAGACCAAGGGAGGTAGGGACTATGGACATGGAAGACACAAGTTCCATGATGATCCCTCTTCATGCATTCACTGAGCTGGAGACAGAGTGGCAATCTAGCCCTTACCCAATCAGAGCAGTATGGGACTTCTGTATCCCACCCCCTCCTTATCCCTTAACCAATCAAAGCAATAGGGGACTTTCCGTACCCCAACCCCTCCAATGCTTGCTTTGCAATCCTCCTCAAGGAACCCTAAATGCAGGGGTGGAAGACTTCAGCTCAAAGGCTGATTGTAGCCCTCTGAGTCTCTCTATTAGGCTCCCAATAGACTCCAGCCAACGCCCTTCCCAAAACCACAGCCCTCACCAGCCCTGCTCTCCTTGAGTACTTTTGCCAGGCTGCAGTTTGTCCTTGAATTGTGATAATTCTTCTTTTGCTTGTTTGGAAGGAGGATTGGGAGATGTGAGTAGGTGGGAATGGAGTGGGGAGAGACCTCTGATTGTTGAGTGTCTCTGGAAGGCACCCTACTCTACAAAGGTAGAGGCCACACATCCATTACTCTGCCTAATTTATGCTTCTGGCCCTAACCACCACTTGTATGTGGCCCCCAGAAGCTGGCCCATAAGGGAATGTGGTCTGAAATTGTATTGTAGGCCTAGCAATGCCTGGTCACATTTGCAGCTTCTCCTTTGGCTGAGGGCAGGAGTATTCATTCCCAGGCAAACTGTGCCCACCTTCTGTTTTTCTTTTCTTTTTTCACATTCAGAGAAAATGGGGTCAAATTTCATTGAGAGCAGTAAAGGACTTGCATTGTACTAAGGCATTTTTGTATTTGAAACAAAATGCCAAAAATGATGCCTTCTCCCCTGTTCATTTTTAATTATGGGAAATGTCCACCACATACTCAGTGTCTCTAGCCAAAGCATCTGTTTCTGTTTGCTTCGTGGCAATGCATCCTCTCTCCCATTGTTTCCTGGAGAAAGCTAATGTCTTGAAGTACCCTAAACATCAAATTAAAGTTCCTCAAACGACCAGAACCTTGGCATTTAGGATCCAACAATTTTTGTTGAAGTTTCTACCTTCAATAGTTCAAAATCATGAGATGATGATGATTAAATTATTACCTGCCTTTCACCAGCAGATCCCAGGGCAGGTTACATTCAAAATTCAGAATTAAAAACAGTTAGAACAGATTACAGCCACAACATACAACTCAGGTGTCAAAGTGCGTCTTTAGCATTTGCCAACAGCTGTATACTGAAGTACCCAGACACACCTCTGTGGGGAGGGAATCCCACACCATAGGGGCTGCCACAGAGAAGGCCATACTCTGGCTACTCCCTCTGAACTTCCAGCTAAAGTCATTTAGCTAGAGATTATTAAGTCAAAAGAAACGAGCAAAGTTCATCCTGACAGATCACAAAACAAAAACAAAAACAGAAGCCTTGCTCTGTTGCAATGTTCTGTCTTGGTCATCACCTAAACACTTGTTTTCTCTATCTTTTCCCTTGCAGGGATCGCCAGTGGAAGTTTATTATCTGCAGGATGACGGATTTTGACTGCCAGTTTGACAATTTTAAAAAGAAGTGAATATGTGCCATGTTTCTGGGGGTGGGGTGTTAGGGGGGAATGAAGGTAGAGGGGAAAGGAGAAAAAAAAATAGCAAAGGCAATATATCAACCATACACCAGTTTCTTTGCAGATGAGTAAGAATGACTCTTATTCTGCGAAGAGGGCTGCGAAGAACACTGAGCTCAACTTTACAAGACAGGCACATCCATTTGGCTCTTAATTAGGGATTAGATGGGCTGGGTTGATTTACATAATCTCTGCAGAGCATGTGTGCAGAGTACTTCCACTTCCAACCCTTCCTGGCCCTTCGACATATACCTGGTGGATGCAACGGCAGGGGACCCATGTTAACACTGTAGTGTGTAGTGTGTGTATTTCTGCCCTTTACTGGGTCACTTCCAGCACTGGCCTGAGAGTATGGGTAGCTGCCTTGTGTGTGTGCCTTTAGACTACACTTTGGACCATTCCGTTGATTATTTTTTTTTATTCACAGCTACTTTACCTTGTTTAGATGCTTTCTGATATAAACCTAGATGAAGCCATTTCCTTTGCTGTCTAGCTCACCTGTACAGATGCATCGTGATTTTGCATGGCATCTTTGTATCCACTCCGCCCCGTTGTCAGTTTACAAAAAAGGACCCCCAAAACGCCCAAAATTGTGCTTTGCTGATGTTTCAGAGCTAATCATTTGCCAACAAATGCTACCAGTGTGCATGCCTCCTTCAAAATATCCCAGAGCAGCAAGCCAAACCACACAGAATGTTAATCATGCCCCTTCGCCTGGAGTGCAGACTTCTTATTGCACAAACTAAGCAGTGTGGCAATTCAATCCATATTGAGATCTTGGTGTGGGAGCAGGAGGGGGCTTTAGCTCTCTGTCCCCTGCTGTAGTCTCAATATTTGGATTGCCCTCCATGCCCAAAATTTGCATTGAGGAGGAGAAGCAGCTGAGCAAATGGGAGCTCACCACCACAAAAGAATTTCAAGTTCCCTCCTCATCTCGACTGGGAATGCAGTGGTGGTGATATAGGGTGGAAGCTTCCCTGCCCCTGATCCAACTCAGGACCCCACCCTGTCAATTTCTGCAGAAAAAATCTTGCTCCCAGTGCCAAACAACATGATTAATGTAGTGCCCTTACAATTAGAGGATAGCAGAGGCATTTTTTTCTATGCCACAATTTTGCAACCCATGCAAATATATCACATTCATATTATCTGTTGTGGGGAACCCTCCCCCCCCCGATGTTACTTGCCTACAACTCCCCTTATCCTTGGCCATTGGCCATGCTTTCTGGGGCTGATGGGAATTGTAGTTCAGCAATATCAGGAGGATCAAAGTTTCTCCATACCTGTTATATAGCAAGCCTGCCTGACAGGAAGGATGCCAAAGATTGCTTATCAACACTATCGCCTGAAATATGATCGCTTCTACAATTAATATGTCTAAATTTCAGGTGAACTTTGAAACGGTATCAAGTTGTGGTTTTCTTAATGTTTTCTTTGACATCCTGAATAATCAGAGTCCTATGATGAATAAAATAATACCAGATCTCCAACTTCTAACTAAAAAGGGAATATAGAGTTGCAGTTTTGCGACTGAACATGATTGTATAAAACTGACAACATCCTGATGAAGTGTGCTATGTAAGTCAAATGTGGGGTATAACTTTATTGGGCATTAAAAGGTGTGACTATGTCCCTGAAGCTGGTGACAATTTGTTCTATCACAGGAGAGGATTAAATAAATAAAAAAAGGGAGATACTTAAGAACCCAAAGACAACCCTGTTGAAATAAACTATGCAATTTACTCCAATTGCCTGTATTAGGATATCCTTATTATGTCTGGTATTTACAAGCACATTGTCAATTGTTATCCTAATCAACTGAAAAAATAAAATAATTTGGTGATGCAGTAACTTTAAAACATTCTCTCCCGCCCCTCAACTACCGTATGTTTCTACATTTGCTGGTTGCCAAGAAATAAGTCAACCGTGTTCTCAAGGACTCCAGGGAAAGAAGCAACATTCAGTTTTCAGTCAATGACAACAGGAAATATAACTGCTGGCAGATGGAAGCATTATAACTTGTTCTCTTCACTTGACATACCAGGGGTAGGTGGGGGTCATAGCCAGAACTTGTCCAAGAGCAGCAAAGATACCCCTTTCTCTCTGAGCTGCTTCCTTTCATCTGAAAAGGAAAAATGGAAATGCCATGTTAGAACTGGCCTTATATCACTGCAGGCCCAATGGTGCCTCACACAATGGGACCCTCATTTAAAATAAACAAATAAAAGAGATGGACACTTTCTCTTTAAGTAGCGATGCCCTGAACAAGCACAAATTTCTGGAAAAGATGAGAGACTGCATGAATTTGCAGGCGATAAGATTACAGATGCCTCTGTGAAGAGCAAATGACTCCGTATGATACTGCCAAAGACCTGCACTTTGTTCACAAAACGTTTCCTTGTTTGTAGAAGAGCCTCAATGGATTTGTTCTAGCCTGCTTCAGAGACTTTATCTCACTCTAGTCCCTTGCCAGCTCCTGCTGCTCGCCTTGCATGTGGCTCCTCTCTGTCTCTTTAAACAGTTGTGCCTTGTCCATTGTAATGCTCAACTGCAGCAGCCTAAAAGTCACAGGAAGTATGCATCCGCCGCTCTTTTTCTTCATCATGAGTTGTCCCAAGTCACTCCAACATATGGAACATAGGAACATAGAAAGCTCTCTGGTGCCAAGTCCGGCCTACTAGTCCATTTAGCTCAGTATTGTCTGACTGGCAGGATGAAGCAGATTCACAAGGCTTCAGACAGGGGACAATTCCCAGCCATGCTGCCTTCATTTAGAATTTATAATGGCCAAACTAGATGCAAAGCTAATGTGTCTTTGGGGGTTGGGGGTGGTGGCACAATTTTAAGCACATTTGGATTTTTGAGCAAAGTCCTATGGATCAGCCCTCTGCCTGAGACAGACACTATGCTTTCCCAAGGGATCTGTGTAAAAGTCAGATCCAGTAGAATTAATCTGAGTTTTTCCATCTGAAACTCAATTCTCCATATTTCTGCAGGAATTTGTGATCCTCGGGAAAATTCATCAGCATTTTAGTACAGATTTCCCCTAATAAACCCATTTTTATATGTAGTTTTGACTACTATACATATTTTTGCAAACAATATCTCCTTACGTAATGCAATGCGTTGTTGTATGTTATTTTCACTAATTTTTGCACACTTCCCCCTGAGATGATACATGATAGATAGATGATAGATAGATAGATAGATAGATAGATAGATGGATGATAGATTGCAAACATCAGTTGGCTGAAGACATAGGAGCCAACTCCTAGAGGTCGAGGTCCCTTCGCACCCCCAATAAAATATTTCAGGGGGCCGGGCCCACCTAAACATGATGGGCATTGCCATTCAAATGCTGTGTGCACACTGCATCTTGTGATTGATTACGTGGGACAGGGCTTACCTGCCCCCCAATATTTTATTCAAGTTGGCACCCCTGACTGGAGAACTGTATTGCAAAGTCTGGACATGCACAAATTTTGAAAGGTGTTTGTGTGTCGATTCTTATATTGTTTCAGAAAGAAAATTCTTATATTGGTTCTCAAACAGTTTGGCTCCCAAACAAATCAGCTCCCAAACACAGCAAACCTGAAAGTAAGTGTTCCGGTTTGCAAGCTTTTTTTGAAGCCGAATGTCCGACGCAGCTTCTACGGCTTCTGCTTGAGTGCAAGAAGCTCCTGCAGCCAATCGGAAGCTGTGCCTTGGTTTTCAAACGGTTCTGGGAGTTGAACAGACTCCCGGAACGGATTAAGTTCAACAACCAAGGTACCACTGTATTCACCTTTCTGTGTGGACTGAATTGAATTTCTGCCCCTTCCCTAGCCCCGTCTAGGTGTCTGTCTCAGTTTTACAAGTCTCAGACATGGTAAGGCAGAAGCATGCAATCAAGTGGGGAACACTGTGGGAAAATCCAGACATTAAGATTGAAGGCTTGCAGATGATAAGCTGGAGAAGGTTCAGAGAGACTGGTCCGATGAGTGCCTGATGCTTCCAGAAATGTTATCAGAACTTTGTGTATCTCTTACTTCCCAGTGCAGCTGGAAATAGCTTGCTGGCCTCTTCTCCCCAGAGAGATTGCAACAGCCCTAGAACTGCCTGGCACTTGAAAGGACAGGGTGACATGCAAATTCTTCTTCTTTCCATTTCTTTTTTAAAAATAATAATAGCTGTGTGATCACCCTGGAGTCTGGGAGACTTGCAAAGCTATAACTGCGCCTTAGCCGAACTGCTGGCTCTTATAACATAAAAAGGAACTGATTTCTCCTGTTAGTAACAATACAAATGGGAACCAGGAACGATTTCACTGAATGGAGTGAAATTAATTTGAAATTAATGGAATGTAATTTCCATTCAGTGTAGTTAACCTAGTGTAAAATTAGTGCTAATGAGATCAGTGCTGGGGATGGGCTGTAGCTCAGAGCAAGAGCACATGTTTGAATGCAGAAGCCTCTAGGTTCAAACCCTCACATCTCCAAGCAGGACTTAAAAAATACCTGATACGATAGTTAACTTGGTATAAGGACATTTTCTCTCATCCTAGTCAGAAGTAGAAGCCAGTGATTACGCTATGGGTTGATTCTAGAGATTAAAGGTTATGGGAATGCAGTCCTATATTCACTCACCTAGTAGTACTTTACTTATTTCTGAGTAAACAGGAACATAGGAAGCTGCCTTATATCAAGCCAGACCATTGGTTCAACTTGTTCAGTACTGTCTACATTGACCGACAGCAGCGCTTCAGGGTTTGAGGCAAAGGACTTTCCCAGCTCTATTTGAAGATGCCACTGATTGAACAGCGACTTTCAGCAGGTCAAGGATGTCCTCCACCACTAAGCAACGTCCCTTCTTATTCAATGCAAGCCTAATAACTTTTACTCAAAAGCATGTTTTGCTATATTTAATTCAGCTTTCTCACATTGCAACAGAAGTAAGCACCAATGAGTTGCACAGGATTTACATCCAAGGAAATGTGTAAAGGATTGTATCCTTAACCTCCTTGGTTCTGTTCAAAGCCATTGACTTGTTTGGGCTGGGTAATGTTATTATATGGTTTATGCAGAACATCAACATAGGCTCTCCCTACTGAGGTGATATCTTATTCTATGCCATCACAGTTATATCAGAAAGTATTGCACAATAGTAGTGATTTGTCTCAATGAAGCCAATAGTATGGCTCTAGATGACAACTAGACACAGATCTATGTCAAAGAATTTGCTATCAGACAGAAATTCAATGAAGTACTAGCAAGCTCTTTAAAAAGCGCATCTGTGTGTGGAGTGGGGAGGGAGGGATAATCCTTCAGCATGGTCTTTTTACGGTGCCATGGGCTGCTGATTGACCATTGCTTTTGCTAGGAAGGATTAATAGTACAGATTAACTCTCTTTCATACACAAATTATTCTAGCTGCATAGGAGTACATTGCTATCAAAAGGCTCCCCTACTCATGGAGGCCCTTCCAAGGACAACTCAAAAGTCTTAATGCAGTGTCAACAGCTCAGAATAGTTGGTTGATATTTCCTCTCAAGTGGGTGAGAAGATAGTTGGCAATTGTTTTTGCTGCCTTGGATATCTGAGTGAAAAGTAGCTTATAAATCCTGGCAACAAACAAATAAATAAGCCTCTCTGTCGGCTTGAACAATAACCTGCCAGAGAATGGGGAAGGTGAAGACACATCTCAAGCTATTGGGTGTGGGATAATGCAAGGATGTGTGTGAAGATGAGAAGAAAAGACACACTGAGGAAGTGTATGCCTTTGCCTGCTGTTGGCCTCCACAATTGGCAGTGATGGAGAACATTTGGACTTGAACTACAACCTCCATCATCCCTGACCAATGGCCTTGCTGGCTGGGGCTGGTGGAATCCAACAATATCTAGAGGCACAGATTCCTCAGTCTTGACTTGGGGTGTACCTTGTATAAAACATATATTACAACAATAGTTGAGGTCCTTCTGAAATGTCTTCTCCAAAGAAAGATACTACTGTCTGTTGAAGTTCTCAACATTCAAGGAAAGCACACAATACTATGCTATCCATTATGCAAATTATGGAAAGATGTTAAGGAAACATCTGCACTGTACATCTCCAGTACCTTTGACCTTTCTCCCCACCCAGTTGATCTGGATGAACTGAAGCAATACTGTCTTTTCAGAAGGGTTAGACTACAATTAGGGACGTGGGTGGCGCTGTGGGTTAAACCACATAGCCTAGGACTTGCCGATCAGAAGGTTGGCAGTTCAAATCCCAGTGACGGGGTGAGCTCCCGTTGTTCGGTCCCTGCTCCTGCCAACCTAGCAGTTCGAAAGCACGTCAAAGTGCAGGTAGATCAATAGGTACCGCTCCGGCAGGAAGGTAAACAGCGTTTCCGTGTGCTGCTCTGGTTCGCCAGAAGCAGCTTAGTCATGCTGGCCACATGACCCGGATGCTTTATTGACCTCGGCCAATAAAGCGAGATGAGCGCCACAACCCCAAAGTCAGCCACGACTGGACCTAATGGTCAGGGGCCCCTTTACCTTTACTAGACTACAATTAATGGCATCAGCACCTGGGAAGGAGTTATCAAAATACTTCCACATACACACTCTTCCCAAAAAAGAAACACATATTTGCAGTTCCCAACAATAAACTCTGGAGAGAATTGGCTTGGGGCCTCCTCTAGATTAGCATTTGAAATTTCGTAAAATGAGATAACCTTGCCAGGGAGTCACAGGACTCCCAACTGGCTAAGAGGAAGCTAGTGCCTGGCACAGCGATGCTTTTGGCAGAACATCAGCTGGTTCTCAGGAGAAGTCTTTAGATTTCAAGGGACCAGCCC